TTGGAAGATTTTCTCAATGCTTTCTACCGGTGTATGAAAACAAGGCAAAAGAAGCAGGACCATTTCTATCATGATTCAGGTGGGATTAATTTGCTGTAGATATGCAAAAAAAAGTTGTTCATCTAAATCTACACTCTCTGTGCAGCCTGGGAAAAGAGACAGAAGGCAGAAAAACTGCCTTCTGGAAGTGCCCACTTCTTGAGAGGGGAAAAAAAAAGTGCCTATTTCCTGGGGACTGACTTTTGAGAGACTCTAGAGTAACTAACTGAGACTAAACAGCTGATTTTTAAAAAGGTGGAGTGAGAACATTGTCACAGAAGAGTTTAAAACTTTCTCTGAGTTGAGCAAGGATCAGAAGACAGGCTCTGGTCACAGAAATTACCAGGGAACTGGTCCATCAGGGATGGATGTTTGAATACACACACTTCATAGCTCCAAAATTAATGTGGTTTTTTTTTTTTAATTGGCAATTTCCTAAAACCAATCCTGCAGAACTACAGACAGCTGCATACCAAATGTAAGCCTACAGACAGTAGGCCAGTTTGTATTATGTAGCAGCATTGAAGACTATCATGGCGGCAACATTCTACTACATAAATTTTTTGTAAGCATAACAATAGCAAAAAAATTATTTTAAACTAACATTTATTCTTCAAGTTTGCAGCTAAATGTAGCTTTCACCTGAATGTGTCTCACTTCACCTCACCCCAACAATCACATGAAGGATGCATCTTTTCTTACCAAAAAATTGCTGAAAAGGTTAGACTCACATTCTTCACAAGTAAGAAATATTCCTTAACTTTTAACATTAAAACTTTTTCATTAGAAGTATACATATGAAGTACCTATGATATATACATACCACAGTACAACCGTGATTTTAAATGCACACGTGCATATAAATAATTGGAACCAAAATTATTGGCAACAGTAATACCGTGTTTCCACAGTGCTAAGCTTGTGCACAGAAGTTTTGAAATCTCACATTACTTCTCATATTAGTACTGTAAAATATTGAAATGGCACTGCTCATCACTACAGCCACATTTTTAGTCTGGTTTGGTCTGCTGCCTTAAAACTCTGCATGGTCCCAAACAACAGTTGTCATAGTTTAAGTAAGTTCCTTTAAGAATGGCACTTCCTTTCTAGTATTTTAGAACTTTAGGACTAATCTTGCTTGTTTTTAAATCACAAAGCTAAAAGTGTCTCAAATACTCTATATCATTATTTTATCAATCAAGTTGATGAAAATCTATATGCCAGGAAGCCAGCAAATCTGCTTTTAAGCACCAATATACCTCTGAAGCCTTAGGTGTTATTCCTGGAAATGACTTTCATGTGTGACAACAATGCTATTTTAAGATGCACCACCTTCTGAAGGTAGCCCCGGACTGATTCAAGATAGTAATTGTGATCACTTATATATGTGCATTAAAAGGTACCCAACTATCCTAATCTTGTCCAAGTGTACCCATTTAAACTAGTTCCTTTTCATCTTTCACATAACACAGCTAGTTCCCTATTGATATTACCTTGCTGCTTTTTGACACTTTTTTTTTTGCTGTTTTGTTTTCTTCTCAACAAGAGTAGTTCCTTTATTCTGTTTGATAAAAGCAGAATGCTATGACTAACACAGTGCATGAGTTTAACCACATTCCCAGAAATATCAATTTCAAGGACTTTTATATGTTAATTTGTTAATATACTCATTTCTATACATATTGCACATGTTCAAGGACAAATAAGATTTCTAATAAAGAAAGTGGATTGAACTACATGATGTGAAAATTGCTAACAGCTGGAGGAAAGATACAGTAATGGCAACTGGCCAATAAGACAATGTAGAAACAATGAAGAGACAGGTAGCAGGTATCTGTCCAGAGACAGATGCCCCTGAAGTACAAAAAGCCACAAAATAATAATAGGACAAGTAAAGAAACATAAATGGATTTTTAAAACGAAATTCCAAACACTATTGTTACAGAATAAGCACAAGGTGGAAAACTGTCAATAAATCTTCCTGACAAAAGTAATTGGAAAAATATTAATAAAGCTATGTATATTGTGTTACGACATCTATCTGTTGTAGTAGCATTCCATAAAAAGGGAAAATACGTCCCAAAACATATCAACCAAAAATATCATCATGTTGATTTTAATATGAAGTAGATTTTTTTTCAGTAGAGTCAAATTTAAGGGTGCTGATTCTGGTTCATGGAGCAATCAAGGTGTGGCAGCTGTTGCAGATTATCATTTCCCTACCAATTCCAGCAAAATAGGAAATATGCCTATAGCTTAGCAGATCCAGTTGTGATAAAGTAAATGGAGGTTACTCAAAGGTAACCAGAATTCTTTGAGGAATATCATCCATCTCTATATTACATAAGAATACTTCATCCTGTACAGGAGCACTGCATTCTCTTTTTATAGACACAGTAAGAGACAGTAGATGCAATTGTGAAGAATGTGCTTCTTAACAAGAAAGTCAGAGTTCCTAGTATCCAGCTCTGCACAGAGAGTATGACTGTCCTATGAAGTCTGAGGCTGAAAAGTGTTCTCTGAAGAGCCTATACAGCCAACATTTTAGATTTTGTGCAGCAAGCTTACAATGCAGATTCTGATGGCTGAGAAGAAAATACACAGAGAGAACTAGAACAGTGAAAAGCTTGTCCTACCAGACAACATGAAGGGTAACAGAGGCGGGGGACAGCCATGCTGAATGTTAATTGCCTATATGTTGAACATAAGAAAGGGCAGGAGATAAGTATGCCCACTATAGATGCTGCAATGGTAAATAGTCTTCAGCCTGTGCAATACAGCACATGTACCCATTACCAAACCTTGAAGATTTTACTGATTTATGCTACCATGTCAGACAACAAACTGAAGCAGCCGAGGCAGGTGCTTGTTCTGTTCTGCTATGTGGTAACAGCCCAGGGCAGATAAACAGGCCTGGAGCAGAAAAGTAGGGATGGTAATCTCAAACAACCATAGCAAGATTTACCCCATTGTATTTAGCATAGCATTTATTTCAAAGTAGCCTGAATATGTCAAGGGACATAAAAACTGAGATTATGTAGTATTTTAGTCCTGGAAGCCTTCTGAACCCAAATGCTTCATTTCCTCCTGAACTATGTGGGTTAGTTTAGACAACACAATTATCTGCCTAAGAACAGGATAAGCTACAGGGCACAGATCAGCTTGTGTAGCAGCTCATGTTTCTGAAACTTGCTAGTGCCAAGCAAGTGCTTGGGAATCACCTTGCTGAATTCATAAAGGTGTAAAACTCTTCCTGCTGCTCTGAGAGATCAAGATAGAAAAAAGTGTCAAAAATCATCCTTTTACATGCAAACACTAGTTTGCTGAAAATGTAAGATAACAAGAGCACACAGTGATTCACAATGCCTCCAGGACTTCTTTGGATTACTGGGAGCAACTTTCAGCTCTGATTTTTTGAGCAGCAAGTCAGTATTTCTCAGTAAGCATTCCTGATTATAGTAATGGCTTTATTTTATTTTATTACTTTTTTAACCTTTTCTATGTGGGACAACATACTGGTATTTTGTGAGCTTCCAAGGATGAAGTTTTTATTTCTTTCTCTCTCCCAATTCTTGTGTGAGTAGGACAAATTCTTTGGGAATGAATAGAAGCTATTTGGCCTATAAAACTTGCCCTTTTTTGGTTCTATCATTCTCACATGATGTCATGCAGTTATTTTTCTGAATGACTTCAATGTGTTTGCCTCAACAAGTCTGCTATTTTAAAATGGTTCTATATCATTCTCATGATGTCATGCAGTTATTTTTCTGAATGACTTCAATGTGTTTGCCTCAACAAGTCTGCTCTTTTATTATTTTTCAACTCTGTGTCTCCTGCTACAATTTCTGTATTGAGAATCTCTGCTAATATGAAGCTGATCGTAAATAATTAGCAGGCATCTTATACAATTTTAGTCTTACAGTTTTTCAATCTGTTATTGTCACTATCTCTCTACTCCACTATACTATTTCATTGTTATTATGAAAGTATGATTATATTTGATACAATTATATTAGCAGGAATTAAAGCAAGATTTCCTAACAAAAAAAAAAAAAAAGAATTTCCTAAAAGAAAGGATTCAAAAGAAAGGGAATTTTAAAAGAATTCTAAAGATTTCTCTAAAACAAAGATTTCTGTGGTAACTGGAAATATACAAACAACAGACAATTCCCTCTCATCTGGCTTCACAAGTAAAGGGGACAAATTCCAGATTGCTAAAATGGAATTTTGGATTGCTAAAATGGAGTTTAGCAATCTGGAATTTGGAACAGCAATGTGGGATGGCAAACCTGAATCTGATAAGGAGATAATTCATGACACTGACTACCTTTCCTGCCTAGCTTCTTGGTAAAACAAATTTATATAATCTGATTGTTGGCTTCTCAGTGCTAAAACAACTGCAAAGTATTTCCTGAGAAGCTTGAGGAAAAGCACTGTGGTTCTACCATAGCACTTTTTCTCTACTAGTGAGAATTTATAATAGTATTTTGTCCCTTGAGAATATATTGAATTTAAATGGCTATTGTGTACACATTCTGCTACTTTATGGTGGATACAGTCAGAAAAAAATGCAGCAAGGTGTCACAGAATCTATGCTAGTAGCAGTTCTGAACTACTGAAGAGATGTGTCCTTTCCAAAGCAAGCACTCCATTTATATGGGATGGCTATTTTTCAAGAGGAAACAACATATATGTAGGTGACTTAGGACAACTCACATGGCTATAGACTACAATAGTGTGGAAAAGAGCTTGACTGGAAAGAATACCCAAGATGACTCTACAAATCTGTCCCTAATATCTCTGATGTACTTTGTAACATTGCTTTAAAGATGGCATGTGTTATTTATATAATACTTTAAATCCTTACAAATATTCAGTTGCTGTTGGCTTATTTTTCCTTTTTCCACTCAAGCCTTTGACATAACACAGCTGTTCAAAGGTTCATTTTTAATCTTGAAATTATTTTCATATTTTAAAAATAAATTCAAAACCACACATATTCACCCAGCATTTTGATGTTTCTCACTTTCTGAAAACCTTATGCAACTAAAATATATCCAGTATGAATTTTAATCCATTTTGACATCGAAGATATATTCTTCTATACACTTGATTACTGATGAAATTATATACTTTGGCAAGGTCTCTTAACTAGCTTTTAAATTTGAATAATTTAAAATAAAAACATCTGAATTAAACAAATGAAACACTCCACGAAATCCTGACTAAGCTTCAGCAGTTTTAAACAAGACTTTTAATTCGTTTTCCATATTCCCAAATCACATGCACAAAATAATGCCCCTGTTAGGACTTCTGCTTTCTGAAACTCTTTGTTTACCTCTGTTATTTGCTGTTGCTTTATTTATATTATCTAATAGTGTGTGCATTTATAATACAGCAGCTAAAGACAATGAGGAGCACTGGTAATTAAACATGAGAAACAAAATCTTTGCGCTTCTTTCATGTTCTTCAATACCTGTCTAGGAAAAGCCCAGAAGAAATCCACATTAGAAAGGCATAGAGGAAAGCTGTCAAAGATTCTGACTAGGCAAAGAAAGGACCCAGAAAACCTAGCTGCACAAATATTTGCACTATGGGAATGTGGTAAGTGATTCAATCTCTCTGGTTATCAAGATAAATTATGTTGTAACTGCCATTTCTCTCATTCTCTAAGTTCTCAATAAAATTCAGGCAGCTGGTTAAAATCTAACCTTTTCCATCAGAGCTTCTCAGACTGTGGTCTGCAAGAATCAGAAGTTGCTCTATGAAATAACTGCAATTTTTTGCCTTTTTTTTTTTTTTTTTAAATTCACACACTTTCATTCCCGCTCATGCAAAAAAGAATATACCCCATTCTGCAAGGGAAAACATAAGTAATGGAATTCAACATTTGCACTATTTTTACTCATTTGTAAGTCAATGCTTTATGGCAGCAATGCATGGGATTAACTGTGTATTTCTTTTTCCACTAAATTGAGAAATTCTGCTTTATATTTTCTGCATATTTAAAATACAACTCTCTTCCCCACTACTGTAAACTACCATTAACATACAAAAAACTGCTTTACTTCTTTATTGGAATATATATCAAGCTGTTTGAATGTTTATGTTGCGGAGCTGGGGGGGGCATGGAATAATTACTCACTAAATGGAACGTTTAAAAAAAAAACCAACCAAAAATAAAAAGCACAGAAACCCCTACACCTTTTCATTTCCTTCTCTTTAGTTATATTTTTCTAATATATTGATCATACAAATCAACGGATACACGTGAAAAACTGTAAATTTCTTTTTAAGTAACATGTTATGTATTAGTAATTTCATATTTTTAACTTATAAATCATCTTGCTATTTTCAGGACATATACTGTTACTGAAGAGATGTTTTAACCAAAATATTTATGCAAGACAACTAAAAAGAAAAGTGGCAAACTGGAGCTGATACCTTTCCTTAGTCTTCCGTACTTTCCAGAATCATTGATTCTGATGATTATCCATCTTTCTTAAGTCTAAGACATTCAAAATGTTAAGCATTCTCAGCTACAATCTTTCATGAGAATTAAAAATTGCTTCATATACCTCAGCGGAACAGTAGCCATTTTGCAGAATCTCACTTTTAAATGCATGCTAAAATGGAAAAAAAAAGTGAAACAATAATGAGAATCCTATGCCACATAACTAAAACTCTTGAAATTTCATAGCAGAGAAGAAAGCGAGATGTTGCTATCTTTACTATACTTCATGGTATATGTGGGCATCAAGAGAATTTGAAGCATGAAAGCCTGTAATCATCTCTGTGATTTTGAAGAATACTATGAGGATTATAAAATATAAGACCTATTGATTTAATAGGTTTCAAACACAGGCAACAAATACAAACAAGACAATCAATACTTTCAAAAATAAATGTTGTGAAATACAGCTATCTAAGAATCACAGGGTGCAGTAGGACGACAGAATACAGACCAGCTCAACAGCTCCCCTGGAAGGGCTTCCAGAAGAGCAGGATGCAAGATCCTAAGGTAATCAGTAACTCTGTAACATTTTCAACTTTTCCTCGTCTACAAGGAAAAGGGGAAGATAGTGTTTCCAATGCTACCATGTTGCAGTGAATTAATCTCTCTACCACAGTTTCCATCTGCCTCTTTCTGCGGTTAATGTTCCTTCCGAGTCCTATTTCTGCTAATTAAAGAGGGTGCACCAGCCTAAAGTGAGCTTTGGTATAGCATGTTAACTATCATGGTTTTTATTTGCTGCATATGAAAATGGTTCAGTGATGGAATCCGTATCTTTTGGAGGATTCACAAGTAAATACTTCAAATATGTGTTACAAATCTAGTCCACAGATGTTCTCTTTGCTGTAAAGAGAGCATCTTCCCTCAAGATGTTAGCTTCTGACTGCAATACCACTGCCACAAAACTCAAATGGTTAACAGTAATGTTTGTCCCAAATTATTTCGTATTGTCACTCATACTTAATAATGAACTCATGGAGAAAATAAAGAGGAGGGTGGACACGCCCAGCAGTCTAAAGTGAAATGCAAGGCAACAGGAAATAGAAAAGGAAACAAAAAGCAAAGGAAGACTGAATATTTCATAAACTAAAAAAATTAGGGAGGGGGGAATAAATAAATCCTCAAAAGAATAGTATACAAAGACCTTCACAATCCAAACTGCAAGACCACCCATTAATTGCCGACAGGTAAATACTACTAATATATTCCCAAAAGTGCAAAGATCTAGAAAAACCAAAGGTATCATCCTGCAGATAGTGGATGAAACTGTTAAACATGAAACTACAAGTCAGATTATGCAACTGTAAAATGAACGTTCAGGTTATTCCACAACTTATTTGTAAGAGAAACCTTAAAAATTAATGCTCATATTTTAAGACATGTATAAGAAATTGAAAACAAATGCAGCAAGACTGCCACAATTTAATGTTTAAAATGAAAAGTGTAATGAAATTTGCTTCCATCTCCCTATTGACAGAGAAGACTAATCTCCAGGGTTCTGGGCCATGTGGATTTCATATCAAATGACAAACTGAATTCAAGTTAAATCCAACAAAAGCCAAGTAGGCTTCTTTTCAAATAATGTACTGTAGGAGGAAAGTGAAACAGTTGACCTCATTCAGGTAAGAAACATAGAAAGCTAGACAGTAATTAGTGCATGCCAAGAAACAAATAAAAAGCAACTAGCTTTGGACAAGCATAATCAACTTACTGCTTTTCAGAAGAAGAGCCAGCCTGGAATCTTATTCACTGAAATAAACACCAAAGTTGTATTAACTTTGCTTAGAGCAGAGTATCAAAGCCAGGTTCTGTTCCAAGCCAGAAATGTACCAACACAAAGTTATATTTTTATTGAGGTAAACAGAACATAACAGAAAAAGTTGGTATTTAGATCCAGGCTTAAAGCAAGGAAAAACTTTAGACAGAAGTTTGGCTATAGCTACTATGAGAACTGGAAAGATGTAAACTCAGCACAACTCTCCCAAGATAGAGAGAAAGAAGATACAAGAAAAAAGCAAAAGTATAATCAAGCACTTCACATACATTCATTTTAGATTATGTAGAAATTCAATTAAATTTTTGCAAAAACCTCATGACATCATCCATGACATGCTGGATGATGCTAAATATACAAGTTTAAGTAGTAAAGTAAGTAGAAGTAAATATACTTGCATTATTTTCTCTAGAGCTGTATTTCTACAAGTAAATTAATTACTTCAACAAGTTTAATGGCTGCTGCTATTGCTGGCTGTTGCATTCATACCAATTTGGTAAGATACCTGCTGCAGTGACAGGTGGTGAAGTAATGCTTTTGCTTTCAAGTATTTCCACTATCACCCCTAAATGTTACATCTTTTATGTACTGGAATCCAGGGCTCTTTCAAAGACCTGACGGGAGAAAACTAAGTAAAGCAACATACATATCTGAACGGTGCACAAATGTCTGCAAGTATTATATATCCAACATGTTTACATGGCTGTAATATTTGAAGAAAAAGGAAATCCTGAGCAGAATTTAAACCCATACTCAGATCCACCATCCCATAACTAATGACACTTTATTGCGTTTAGAAAAAAGGTGGATCCAATAGGCATTGGAAGCTGCAAGATGCAAATGATGCAGTAAACTTACTGGAGTTTAATTATGGCACTGGAGTAACTTATCAGAAAGTCAGCTATCCAAAACATTTTGAGTTACTAGAAAAATAGTACTTTCCAGAGACCGATGGGAACTGAAAAACTTTTTAGCACAACTGGAGAGAGTTTTTAGCAGACAAGCAAAATATTGAGGACCATGCTAGAATCCCAGAGGTACCTCTGCCAGTTCGTCATACTCATTATAAATTAGCAGTAAGAAAAATAATAGTTGACTTACAGAGGATATTTTTCTACAGCATAAGCTTTGCAAAGATTCAATATGCTCAGGAGATATATAATCAATATAAAATAATTGTTTAAATGTAGGTTATTTAATTCTAAACATTATGTTTATGTCAATAAAAATGAAAGCATAAAATAAAAAGTATCTGGAGTTAAAAGGTAGTGATTTTGGGGGGCCTTATTCACTCCTTTATGGCATTTCAGATACATATTCATTTCTGTGCAAACTGTAAGTAAAACTAAGATCGTGTACTCAGTATTTCTGACAGTTATTTGCATTAATTCTATCTGCTACCTAACAGACACTGGAGATATCACAAAGTGAGAGGTGACTTTTACTTGTTGATTCCCCTTTGCAAGTTACACATGTAACTTTATATGTGCATTTGTGTGTGCTTATGAGACGACTGGAATTTTGCTGCTCAAGACTTAATCCACTGCATAGTTTTGTCTGAACGATGAACTCTTTCTGCTCTCAGTTTAAGATGTAAGCACCCAGACTGCTTAGTCATAGTGCAGTGAGGAACCCAATATTTAAACAGAGTAATCATAAATAATTAGTCGCCAAAAATGTTAATTATTAAAGCTGATTAAGGCCTGAGGAAGTTCAACATTAAACTGATGTTCCCAGTGAATTACTACTTTTTAAAAAAAATTTTTTTTAAACATCTGGAATCTTACAAAAATCCTAAATTACAAAATCATTACACTTAGTACTTATTTAATAACTTACTACTACAAGGAGTGACAGGAATTACAGAGAGCAGAATTAATGCTAAAGCCTTGAAAATAATTCATTTATACAGTCACCTTATTGTAACTCATGTAAGATGGTTCACATGTAAAGCTGATACTGTAAAGAAAAATCTCTAACTTACAGACACAAAGTTCAGAACTTTTGCAATTCAATGGTTTTGCAGAATCCCTCGGACAGATTATGTTCCTTAAACAATCATAATCAGATATAACTGTCATGTCTCATAACTCTCTTAATAGCAGGTGAAAAGGCTGAGTAACTGCAAATGCTTTATAACCATTAACTGTTGGTAACATCAAATAAGGCCAACCTTTTACACACTGTACTTTTTTCATGCTAACCACATCTACAGCTTAGGTCTGTAACTTTTTATGCTAACTCCTCAGAACAAAAACTGGGGGAAAAACTACTACAGTTTACTGCTGAGCATGTGAAATTAAGCTGCTATTTGTTAAATTTTAACATACAGAGCTGTGAACTGCAATAACCGCAAAGCCAACATTCCTTTTGTTCTGCAGCCCTGTTATGGGACAGGCACTGCCAGCTGAGTTGCAGAGCAGACAGATAGATGCAGTAAACTCTTTAACCAGTTTGCCAAGAAATTAATCTACTGGGGCTTCCCAGCTGTGGTCAAACACTTCAGAAACAGCTGTGATAGTTTTAAGATGTTACTTCTTTTACTAATTTTTTACCATCCTGAAGTCCCAGTAAGTGAAATGGACTTCCTGAACCAGTTAGGTTGAGTTGAATCACCTTCAACAACAGTGAAAGATGACTGAATTCATTATGCCACTAGGTCTACATTGAAAGGTACCTGCAGTCTAGTCACATTAAGACCTCTAAGGGGACAGAGTGTACCCAACAGCTCTGTGGAGCTGTTATGCATATACTCCATGCAGAGAGATGTTATTGGAATAATTAGGGAACAGAATTATCAAAGATTTTGCTGTTACAATCTAGCAAGCAGAGATCATACTAGGAGTTATGCCCAAAAGGGTTAAAACTTGGTTAAATATGTAGATTTGTCACAGAAATAACAAAAAGCACATGCTCCACAGGCAGGCCGCTTTCCTGCCAACATCAAATCTCAATTCCAAGCCTTTGGGTCATTCCAGTATTTCAAAGAAACAAGTTGCCAGACCTTTGTTTTTTAATGAGGACAATACAGAACACTGGCCCCTAGCTTCATTTAAAAAAAAAAAAAAAAAAAGTTTACCATGTTTACACTGGAAATACAAAAGATTGCTGTTCCATGGTCTCTCCTTTTTGATAGTTAATGATTATTAATGTAGATTATTCTACAAAGAATGGGTCAAAGTTTATTTTCTAAGTTGGTTTTTGGGGGGGTTTTTTTGGTTGGTTGGGTTTTTTTAAGGATTGCTATGGTATTTAGAATTAGCCAAACTAAGACCCAGGCTATCACATCTGGATATTGGGTAAAGCAACATAACTTCTAGGAATACTTATTTAGACTATTTAGATGCTTGGACCAAGTGCCAAAACACTAATCCTGCACAATCTGAAGCTTAAAATTTCTTTCACTCTCAATTATATTCTTCATATGCAAGAAATATATTTAATGTTATGATATTACAAGCAAATATAATAAAATGTACACTGATGTAAAATTAGAACACTTAAAATTGCCTCAGTAATTTTTTCTTCTAAATGCTCTATTGTACACTAATTAGCATTCTTCACTTTTTGAAACTCAGTCTTTTGATATCTGAAAAGTTTTTAACACTGTGAATTTTAGCTGATAACTTCATATGTACATCAGTCTGGAAAAACCTCAGTAAAGCAATTTAATTTGAAAATGGTCAGTATGACAGTGAAAGTGTGGATGATGGAGCTAAGGCAATACAATGATTTAGGTGCTGACATAAAGGGTCTCCCTTGTCTCTGGCCACACATTCTCATTCCCTCCCCTTGAACCAGCATCTTCTGACAAGATCCTTGTCAGAAGGACCCTTCTGATCTTTTTCAGTAAGTTCAGGGAGTGAAGCAAGCAAAAGATTATCCTTACAGAAAAGGAAATCATCTTCTGCCAGATTAGTTCCCTGAACTGGTATAACAGAGAGGCAGGAATTTGAAGCCAGGATCAAAACAACTGTTCCCATCAGGAGTAGCTCTTAGACTGGCTCAGCCAGATATGCAAACTGCACACTAAGGGTAGCACAAAACCAAGCAGAAGTGATGTTGCTCCAATGCCTTTGCAGAAAGTTTACTGTGTGCAAGTCAAAAACAACAGATGATGCTATTATTCTCTTTGAAACTATAGCAGAAAAAAAAAAGAAGGTTGTGGCTTCAGGGGTGACAAAAGCCAAAATTATGCTTCCAAGCCTCTAGCCTTCTATGTGGTTAGAAGGTATCATCTTTTTATCTATGAAGTATTATCAGGTAAGACTTGGTTGTTATTTTGAGTGATGAAAATTAGTAAATGAAGCATATAGAAATGGGTTATTCTTAATGCATCAAGAAATAAGGTGTGATATACAAGGCTTGATGCTGACCAAGACCTTTATGACATGCTCAATGTGATCTTTAAAACAAAACAAAACAAACCCCAACCAACAAACTACCAAAAGAATACTTTAGAATTATAGAACATAAGTTTGAAAGTGACTGTTGGAAATCTCTAATCCAGTCTCCTGCTCAAAGCATGACTAACGTTGAAGTTAGAGCAGGTTTTTCTGGAACATGACTAGTTAAGTTTAGATTCCACCCACCCCAGCCTTTTCCGGGGAGAAAAACACCCTTACTGTCTCCTTGCATGCTTTGTTCCAGTCCCCAGGTCACCCAGGTGGCCCTCTGCTGGTCTCTCTCCAGTTTGTCATATCTCTGTGGAGCCCAAAACCAGACACAGTACTTAGATGCAGCTTCACAAGTGCTGGTGACAAGGGGAATAATCACTTACGTTACCTTCCACAGAGCCAGTCGTTTCATCACAGAAGCCAACCAGGTTGGTCAGGTACAATTTCCATGAGCGCCTTGCCTTCTGAGACCTATGTACATTCTCATAAAACTAAGCTATGAAAATGCTGATTATTTTAAATGTTTGTAGTCCAATAAATAACATCTGTATTAATTTGAGATATACGTTTTAGGTTTGTTATGGAAAATTTTAAGACACATTCACAACCTTCTTGTCAGTTTACCTTATGAGCAAACACTGAATTGTTTAAAACAAACCTGGAAAGATATGGAATAGGCTTTTGTTGCATCAGTTTTTCTCATGTTTCTGATTCATAATCAATGTGAGATTCTTCTGCTCAGAGAAGTACTGGCTATATCTTTTTAAGATTTATATAAAGCAGCTGCTGGCTTTGTAACTAACCCTTCTACTTAGAAGTTACGTGGTGTGTCAATTCTCACTTCATATACATACTCTGCCCATAAGAAGCAGTCAGGTGAATAAGTACTGTGTGAAATGTAGAATACCACTAGTACAGCTTGTAGGTAAAATACTCAAAACTCTTAAGAAACCACATTTGAAACAGCGTATGTCACAATGTGGGAAATCTATCCCTGTACAAAGTATGAATCCTGGTTGCGGTTATGAAATTGCTGTATCATTAAATACCTCAGAGGATGTGAAGTCAACCATATGCTGTCAGGGCTGAGTCATATGTGTCTCAGACATGGGACTGTGGAAAACGTCCCACCCTAGCAGCTCCCAGTCAAGAGGGAAAATGAAAGGACAATGGGGCGCCTGAGCCAGACAGCAATCAATTCACCCAAACTCTTCCTGCAAGCCAGGGTTTGGAGCTATGGAATTTCCCAAAAAACTGAAAGGAAGATCAAATGTTACAACTGGACCTTGAAAGATAAAGCATTTGGGAAATGCCATGAATCATAGAGAGACAGAAAACTTGTGCATGGAGAAGGAACAGTGAGGCATGCTTTGCTAACTGTGGGCCAGCCAAGTGAGAAGGAAACTGGCTTCAGAATTCTGACAGAGGCATGCAAGATAATCTAGAAAAGTTGTGTACAGAAATGGATGACACGGAGTGCACAGACTATGCCCAAAACAACATTCAAAAATGAGGAAGGGAATTACACACAGTATATTTAGTGTTTTCTCATCTGTATGATATTTTGTGCCAGCTAATATAAAGAATGATTGATTTTATGGAATTTTTACATCTGTGCTTGTCTACTTCAACTATCGCATGTTTCCAAGAGGTGAACTGTAAACCCTGAGCAAGTAAAA